TCAATCGATCTTTCCCAGCCTGCCTGGGACTCAGTCAGTGTCTAGTAAGATACTACAACACGAATTCTTCAATACCACTGGCGCTTTTTCATAAAGTAACAAATATGTGAATAGTTAAGCCAAAACGAGGCTCTAGAATCGAAACAATGCTGTTGTAACACTGATGCCATGAACAAAGCGACTGAATTTTAAGTCTTTTTTTCCACCGAGTTTCAATAATGATGTAAAACTCCCTCAAATTTATCAGTTTTATTAACAATTAAACGAGTTGAAGTTGTTCTAGCCATAACTAACTTCATCTATAAAGAAAAGGCAAGGTGGACGAAAGAAAAATCTGAACGCATATAATGAGACAAAWAATCACAAGCCATTTCCTAAATTTCCAAATTATTTTATTAATACCTTTACTCAAAAATATAAGACACTTGAAATGTGCTGTGTCGTCCGGTCATAAAAAGCCTACCGTAATTTAGCTATAAATTTACTCTTAGATCTCCTTGAATTTTCAGTTCGTGAATATTATTGTCCTTTGATGTTGGAAAGTATCTTAAAACAGAGGTATTAAGGACTAAGATAATAGGGACTTTTGAGGTTTTAAATAAGAATTTTTTGGATTTTTAGATCGGCAAGAGGTTGCAGGTGTTATGACCAAAATGACTGGAAAGGTCATCTATTAGGAAGAATTCCTAAATGAAATATCGAAAACTGTCAGGAAAAAATAGCACARTTTTACAGTACACATGAGCGAACCAGGAATATCCAGGCGTTCAAATAAGTCTATTCAACATTTCAGAAAATTACTATAATGCTGTCAAAATTATTTAGTTTTTTGAATCCTTTTTTCTCTCTTTTTTTTTTTGGTTTTGTTACCTCTTAAGGAAATTCGCAACACCACTTAAAAGGGACATTTTCCAGGCACTTTTGACTTTTAATTTCAAAAATAATATTCAATAACATTAACAGTTAATCTTAGCTTTCTTTATACTTTCAGAAAAAATGTTTTTCACGTCTCAAGGATTAAAAAAAGTGTTTTTCCATGTTTTATCTTGATTTCCATCAGAACTAAAAGGCCCAAGGCAATTAAACCATCAAAGTGAATACTATGCTTAACGTCTAAAGGAAGTGTTCTTAATTGATTACAACCATGCACTGGCCTCTATAATATTGAATTCTGTAACACTGAAATAATCAATAAATAAACTCCATTAAAAATATCCTTCTTCTAGTCACTAAATGCTAACAAATTCATGTTGAGCGAAATCTTACAAAGTYGTAGTGAGTAAATAATCTAGGTTTGGCATCGTAGATACGTAACGTCAAATCAAAAATATTAGTCTTCATGAAATGAAATTCGTTCGCAGCAAAGAGAATTCTTTGAAAACTACGCGAATAGCAGTTTAAAAAGCTCGTCAGAAAAATATAATTATTGGAAAAAAGTATTCTTCGATGTTGTTGTAACGTAACTGCTAGGAGTACAAGAAAACTAGAGTATTTTGAGCAGCGAGAAGCTCAAATCTCAAACGCTTACTCCCATAGAAAAATCAAAACTGAACGATTTTCACTCGAGCTGTGAAAGTATAATACGGGATTTCTTTATCGCCAAACCCACTACTTACCCATTGTTTCCCGAGAATAAACTCCCTTTATCCACAAACGACTTCTGTGCACTTTCATTTTGTCAAAAGAACAAATCCACGCAAAAGACTTTGGCCGGTAAAATAGCCCTTTTCGAATCAAGTTCAAAATGACCTGTGCGCTGCTCTTGGAGAAGAAACCCTTCTGATGTCAGTCATAGATAGTACGCATATAAATATCGGAATAAATATTGACTTAGTGAGCCAAATTTTGATAAGAAAACATCAAACATTCTCGGTAGGCAATAACTCTTCGGTACACAAAAAACTCGACATTTGAGCTTTAAACGAAGTTGACGGAAATATGCGTTAAAGAGGAATTGGATTGTAAATATTTACGTTATTTAGGACACTTCATGAATTCAGAATAAAGAGTCAAGTACAACAAAAGGTAAATACCTGAAGTAAGGTAAGAGTGTAGCTCGTATGTAGCCGGACTGTTTTAGTCGTTGAATGAAGACAACGCTAGTGGAGTAGCATTAGCCGTGATGTTAGAAAATGAACAGGTGAAGTTTCTACCAAAGAAGCTCAATTGAATTAACGCCAAATTGATTGGTTTAGTGCGAATTTGAAAGATTTGATGAGGAATCAAGGAAACTGTTCGCTAAAGGCTTTGGGGCAGCCTTGTTGAAATGAAGTACGGATTTACCGGCCTGAATTTTCTTGGAATTGGGACGCATTCTAAAGAAAAGCCCTATAGAAGTTAACACAAAATTAGAGTTTATACTAATTTTGGGTTTGTTGCAGCGAGGTAGGATTATTTCTAACATTATGACTGTTCATTAACATTTCTTGATGTTTACGTTCTTCAAACTGTTGAGTACTGGAGATATGGGCTAGATAACACTTGGAAAATACTGGAAATTAATGGAAATTCTACTTCTACTTCTATCAAAAGGTAGTCACTGACTTGGCTATGATTTAGCAACATTTTAAGATAGAGAAGAGAAGCTTACCAACTACAGGATACGTCAAGTCAGTCCTTTGTTGTCCAAGAAACCAATTTTCTTCGGGACAAGTTAAAAAAATAACTCGGTAAAAATGTCTTCGCGCTTTAAATTGTAAATTGTATTTCTGTATGTGATTGACAGAATTTATCGATTGCAATAACTTTGAATTGGAAAACAAAAAAATATCCGAAAATATAAAAGTTACTAATTTTTCTAAAGCGGCCTATGGTCTTTGATGTCATGGTCTATAAAACACATCACTTGTGAATCATTTTTACCTTTTGACACGACAGCGAACAATTTTACTTTAGCTGCCGACATTGAGTGAACAAGTTATTAAATTGGGCATCTGACTTGTGAGCGGAAAGATGAAAAAGAGAGAGAAAAGCCGTCTTAAGTAGCCTTAATTTCGGGATTTTCATCACGCCAAAATCCATTCAAATGTTCAGGGTTTGGCACAGGCAAGGAAGTCAACCGTCTTGACTCAAGGAAATTAAAACAGTTAAAACGACGACCTCCCAAGTATTCCGTTTAAGAATTAAATGCTCCATTATATTGTGTAATTATAGCAAAGAAAGTTACGTTGGGATATCCATCAATCAAGAATTTGACATTCGTTAGCTAATGATCTATTTTTTTACGAAACACTATAGTTTTTCTTTTCGAAATGAGAACTTCGTAAAACAATACAGCCTATAGATATATGAGTGCTTTCTAATTTCGGAGTCAAAGATAGCGGTTCGCACTACATCGACGAATACCGTGCCGCTAGAAGAGCGGTGACCATAAGAACTAACTGCGGCAACCCACAGTAGAATAAACTTCGATAGGAACAACGATTCATTCGAAGCCGGCTTGGACGGTGAATATATCAAAGTTGATGCGATAAAAGAGGTGTRTCGGCCAATTCCGACTTTATATTTACTCGTATAGTGAATATCATTGGTTGCTGTTTGTGGGCTGCCGTTTGAGAATCGTTCTTTTGTATCGCATTCAATGAGGTATATTAGCCCTGCTGACCGCAGTAAAACACGCCTCAAAAGAATTAAATAATTAAAACTGGCCACATAAAGGCAATGTTTTTGATAATCACGTTGGTGGAAGTAACTACACGTGGATAGGTTACATGGGAAGCGAAGGCTGGAATTATTTAGCAGGAATACAGTAGTCTACCCCAGCGTTATTAAATAACGAGCACGTTAATTATCACATCAATTAAACGCCTACGTTTTAAAGCCGATAACCTAGCGTTTAAGATGCAATAACGTTTCATATATTTCTACTTACTTTACTAAAGCATGACACTGATTCCCACATCCTAATCTCGGCATTTCTATTTTACTCTGCAAACTAAAAACAATAGAAATATCTAAATTATTTTATTAAACGTTTTTAATTTGACAAAATCTCTGTAAATTCAAATCAGTTAGCCTATAGTTGTCGCAATTCACATTTTAAAAGTTGAACACAAACTTTTAATTTGCAAACTGAAAATAGTAGCAATAACAATTTTTTAAAGCCCATGCGTTTATTAGTTGGATACATTTTCTCTAAATTTTAAATTCTTAATTCTTATTCTTAAGAGTTCAAAATGAAAATAACTTTTGTTTTCTGTTGAAATTCTGATCATATTTTTACAAAAATGAGAACATTTTTAATCTGTCTTTTAAGCTAAAACTAAGATAAAATTTAGTTAGGTCTGGTAAAAAAAAGATAAACACACATAAATAAATAAGACTAAATACGAAGAAAAATTAATTCTGGGTTGTGAAGGATTAAGACATCAACTTTACATATCACTATAAGTCTTGGTAAAAATACATAAACAACTAAATAAATAAGACTAAAAAAACAACAATAAGACAACGATAAAACAAAAGACTTATTAAGAAATATGATCTGTTATGTTTGCACTAGGTTAAGATGAATATTCTGGTTCTCACTAAGCTATCAAGTTTAGGTTTCCAAGGTTATTGGTTGCGCTGGACATGAATATAATCGTGTTTTAGTTAGGATCATTTATTGCATATTCTTAAACCGTGAGATGCAAAGTCTGTCGTTTTTGACGTGTGAGCTTTGGGAATGAGAGGAAGGGAAATATTAATGAGGAAGTGAAGAGAAAGAGGAAGGGAAGAAAGGAGGGAAGGAGGAAGAGGAGAGGGAAAGGAATGGAGAGGAAATCAGAGCGTGGCAAATACTAATAAGCCTTGTCAATGAATAAGAAAAAGTTAAATGCCATTAAGATGGTTACCTGTGGTGCTCTGCTCCCTCGCTTGGGAGGACTTGAATACAGAATAAGCACCTAAAGATGCAATCATCGCCTGGGGAAAAAAAGACAGAATTTTAAATTACGATTTTAATGAACTACCACAATGCCGAAGACTTGCTGATGATGATCATAAGATCCGATGTGAAAGTCTAAGCTTGGGTTCCCCGTGGTTATGACGTCATTAGTTCCCACTCTCTCTCCATCCAGTTTCTTTCAAGTTTTCCAAGATGGAGGAAGAGAAGAGATCGTCTGTTGGAAAGCTTTTAAATGGAATAGACAGGTAAAATAAGACTTCATTTATCACCCTGTATCGAGATTTTTGAAAAGATCAGTTTAATTCTCCATTCCAATGATTTCTCGGATGATTTAACTACATCAAATGAAAATATTCACGTGAATTATCGGCTTTATAACACGTGGATTTTAAAGCCGAATTAGCTATGAATTTGTTATATCGATCATATTTTTGCTCGAAGCATTATATTTTAGTTAATTGATTTTTGATTCTTAATTTTCAAGATCTATTAAAAAAGTAATAATCGATATAGATTATAATTGATGTGCTTGTATAAAACGCTGGTGATCATAAGCTTAGTAATCATGTCAGATCAACAAATCTACAATTTATATTTTGAATAAGACGTATCATAAAATTTAACGTGAATTTCGTATTTTCTCGCAGATATAACCCTGAAAACCTAAGTGCTTTGGAAGATTATGTACATCAACAGGTATAGACACTCTTTTTTGTTTGTATTATAATATTATATACCTATTATTATTTATAGGTGTAATACATAAAAATCATCACGTTATAATAACTTGATATCACTTCAGTTTACTTGTTTTCTCCATCATATTCAGAATGAGCAAGTGAGCAATATGATATGGAGTGAATATTGAATAAAAACGATGATATCAGCCTATTAACATGTATTTTTTATTACAAAGTTATCTAGAGTTGATACAATGACATACTGTAACTTTTTAGTGTTTTACCCTCATCAATAAAATCTTATTATTATTACTTATAATTTATTATTATCATTTATTACTATTATTCATTATTATTTATTATTATTAATGTATTTTCTTACCTGTGTATAGGTACATGACAACTTTTATGATTTGGATGCAAATTTGGCAGTCTTAAAGCTGTAAGTATTATGGTTTATGATTCTAACTAAGGATGTCACTTCAATAGGGGGCATAAGGGTTCGCAGTGATGCAGGTGATTGCTTTATTTTTGGTGCAGTTTTGCAATAATTTTTATTTTAACTTGTGGTATTGCGGTTTTACAAGACTTAAAAGTTTACAGTTATCTCTCTTCCATTTCTTTTGTTTTAGTTGAATTATTTAAATGCAGTGCAAGTGTTTTGTCTGACAGTACTTGAGCCAGAGCCCATTATTGTGCAAGATTGCAGTATTGCAGTTTTTCTTTTTTCTTTGCAGTTTTGCAGTATTCAGACTCTACTTACAGTGTACACCCTTCCCTTCAAAGATTGAAAATATTTTCAAATTAAATTTTATAACACTTGAGTCTCTTCCTCCCTCAAAAAACATATATATGGCTTATTTCTGATGTCACAATTCATAATCAAAAATAGGTAGTTATTGTTATTGCTTCAGCATGATACCATCAACATCAATGCATGATACAGTTTACTTTTAGTTTTTAAATTACGTAATAACTTATATTGATGTATTTCTTATTAGGTATCAATTCAATCCTGCCTACTCTCAAACCACGATCACGTCACAAATCCTACTCAAGGCTCTGATGAATCTTCCTAATTCAGACTTTATCATGTGTCGCTGCGTAATAGATGACAGCATTGTATCCTTTACCCATAAAAGAGTATGCTTATGAATGAATATAATCTTTTTCAATCATGGAGATCTTAAAACCCTGCAAGAATATCTAAAAATTTTAGGAATTTTAATTAACAAACTTAAAAGTACTCTATATGAAATATCTTTCCTTGATGTATTTGAAACAGCAACAAGATCCAACAATTCAGAAAGTCATTACTTTAGCTGACCTATTAGAAACCTGTTCCTTTGCAGAAGCTTGGGTAGGTATATATTTGTATATTATCAAATTATCCCATAATTATTCCATGGTAAGAGATTAAATAGTTATACAGTACTTTGAATACAACATTAAACATTCCACTTATCACTTGCATTTCCTCATACATGCACCTCATACACTTGTACAAACAACAAATTACATGCCTTGTGGATATTAAATTCAAAGGCATTGTTTAACCAGATATATCTTAAGTTAGACCTGCAGATATGATAAGGCTACTTTAATTGGCAGATCATTGATAAGGCCAAACAAAAAAATATGTGCATTCCCTGTTGCGCTACTGACCCTAATTTTCTTGCCGATTTTTGCCGACCCTAATATTTTATCATTCCCAAATGCTCCACAGGGCTCCCAGTAAGCTCATTCCCACTGTTGTATCAGTAAAAAATAACGACCTACCAACCCTAATTATGTTTCTCATGCATCAGGAAACACACTTTTTTTGTTTGGTCTAATAACAGTTTTTAAAGCATTATGTGTATGAAGTTTCTTTTGATTCAATATTTATAACTATTTATTAGAATATGTACAAATATAATTTTACTTGTTTATACTAAAGAGATTTGTGGATATGGAAGCTGCTTTAACGGAGGGCATCACAGGATTTCATGAAGCTATTAGACTATGTAAGTACTTGTATCCCTTTATGCTAATCTAAATTTATTGAAATCCAATAGACTTACCAATTAAATTTGTAACTTTGGTTTTTGATTATTTCATACAGATGTGAGTTATGTCATTGGAATTACTTACCAAAATATTGATGCTGACCTTGCTTCAGAGCTGCTTGGAGGTGTTCAAGGTAAATACAGCATTTCCATACTACCTACAATGTATAAAGATAACTTTCCTCTTAAGAGAAAAAACAAAATCAGTCATTTGGTGCAGTCCATTTCTGACTTATTCTTTATTTTTACATTACATACATGTAATTGTGGCGATATTCGTGGTATTTAACAAACAGTTTAATTTGTTAATCTAAGATGCAAATCATAAATTTGGGAATGTTTATGACCATTGGTATTGAAACGTGTCAACCATTTTGACAATAGGTTTTATCATTTTGCTATGTTAGATTTCCCAATAACGGTATGTTAATTTCATGGTTAGTGATTTAAAAGAAACTAGTTGTAAAATAAATTATGTTATCATACCTCTACTTATTTACCATATCAGAAGATCGTTGAAGACTTTACATTCTGATGAATGGCTAACATCCGAAACACCAGTATAGTTACAAACTTTTTTACACAGCGTTTTTAAAGTTTTCTTATTCACTTGTTGTTATGCCCTAGGAACATAAGCCATACTTCAAATGAATATAAAAATATGGTTAAGAATACACTTTGAAAGTAAAAAGGATGTTACAGTAATTAACACTAACCTTCTGATTCAGAATGACTATGTATTTCTTGATCAACAGGTAACGATCTTCAAGAGTGGAGCAAGAAAATGGGCTGGAAATTCAACGTTGATGGTTCAATTTTCATAGCCAACCAAGAGGCACATATTAAATCTCGTAACATTGCCGAGAAGATTGATTTTGACAGTGAGTAACAAACTTGGGTTCTTTGCAAGTTGGGTTCTTTGGGTTCATGCACCTGCATGATTACTCAGCACTCAAAATTTCTTAAATTATTTCAAAATAATTCATATAATAAACTGCAGTACTTGCCTACTATAACTGCTAAAAAAATGTAATATCTTTCACTTATATATTAACATGCTGCCTACACAATATGCCTAATTATGTCACATTTTTGCAACACATAATCTATATTGTAACACTTGATTTTTTTTTGTGATTTTGTGTAAAAACTATATCGTAAGTCACTTTAACCTAATATTGCAATTTCATTGAATCAATCTGACATTCATCAAAAAACACATGAAGATCATATACAGCAGAGAGATTCAAGACAATTTCAACTGGGGGGGGGGGGGGGGGGGAAGAAGAGCAGTAGTCGTTACCATTGTTACCAGTAAAGACCTCATTCTTTATTCTTAATTTAAACACCAAAGGAGACTGGTTATCCAACCAATCTACCCCAAGCATTTACCAATCATAGCTAATTGKTTTTTTTTCCATTTTTTAATAGGTGTTGCAAGTATAATTGCCTCGGCCAGATAAAAGTTCCTTTTGCTATTTATCCGTGACTCTCTTCCCTTGGTGTATAAGCAACAAAACAAGTTTGAATAATTATACATGTGATGTTTATATATATAGTAACTGTTACTTTGGTTCAAATATCAAAATAAAAGCTAAGGTTCTGCCTTTTCCCATTCCTTTCCCATCCTTTTAATTTCCCAACCCTAAGTACTACAAAACTGAAAATGTACTTGTGAAATATTAAAAGATACTATGAAGAAAATTTTTTTTCTTGTGTTTTATCTGAATATTTATGTATCTTGAAAAATAAATGTTATAGCAGATCACAAGGTTGTAATTTTGAACATTATGTTCTTGTAAGATCCCACTTCTTACCAAGATATTTTGATTCCTGATTTTTAGAATTTCTCTATAGATTATTTCTCATTTCACCAAAAGCAGCAATCATGATGCCCACTTTCTTTATTCAATTGATCCCTCATATTTYCTTTAACTTTGATCCAAGAATCTATCTAAATTTAATCCCTGATCCAATCTAAAGCACCCATGCTGAATATTCCACGGTTTATGACCATTTCTCCCTGTTGTTCATTTCACTGCTTCCCCATTTCTGACATTGTGTCTTTCATTACCTTGAGCATTATTCGTTACGGTTGGTGCGGTTTCAACCGCACAAACTTTCAGGAAAAAAATATAAGAAAAATTTTAAAAATCTAAGAAAACCTGAAAACCCRAAAACCCTTGAAACCGGACCAACCAGAAATTTGTGGACACAGCCCTGTCATTTCTGTATCCCAATAATAATTTTTGGCTCAAATATCCAATATCCCTCTATTTTTTCTAGAATATCCCACTCTATACCCATCATACCTAATGAAGTCTCAAACCAAGAAAACCAATGAGACACACAGGCAACCCAAATAAGGAATGAATTGTAATATTTAGAGTCGTAACGGGTCAAAGATGCATGTTTTACTCACTCAGAACTATGTCTTATGCTAATGTTTCCCCCATTATTACTATAATATTCTTCAAATGAAATTTAAAAGCGTGACTTGCCTTCGAAAATAGGAGAAATCTTTGAAATAATCGTCGATATCCAAGTCGTTGAAGAAGCCATGATCAAGACTCTTGCGAAGTCTTCATCTTTCGTCGTGAAACGTCCAAAATAATAAAAAGTTAGCCAACAAAAGGAAGGTAGAAATATTCTTATAAAAAATGATAATGTTTCCTTTGCCGTTTCAAACATTATTTGACGCATTTTAGCTACGAAATTAAATTTACCAAGACCAACTGAGACTGCGACCTTTATCATTTCCCGCCATTTCGGTAGTTGCAGGACAACCACAGGAAGCCCAAAACTCATCTCAACTAATTCATTTTTAGTTGAGATGATACGACGACCGCCGTATACCGTATCTCCGGCTGCGCAAGTTCAAGTTATTCAAGTTATTTTCATCTTTTCGGCTTTCTTATCCTTTTAATGGTTTCTGTATATGTCTTATCTCAAAGTATCATGTTAATAACGATTAAGAAAAATATCTAAATGCTGATGTTTTAGGCCAAAGTATTTGCGTAAATATACGTGGCGGATAGTTTTCGAAACACGCCCCACATGGAAGGAAGCGAGCATGGGAGCTTACCCATCAACTGTGTAGTCGACGTTTGGGTTTGCTGGTCATAGCAAGGGGTTAATCATTTACGGTCTAGGGGCCGACTAACCTCTCCCTTAGGCTTCGGCCGAGCTTCCTGATCAGTGTAATTTCCACGGATAGCGGTGTTGGGGCCGAAATCTCCAGCGTAGCCGTAAATGCTTCGCGCTGCCATACGACGGTTCAGCATTCGATGTCTGGAAGTATGGTCCTGGTTATTTAATCAATTAATAAAAAGATAATTAAAAAAAGAAAATGAAAAAACCCAGAAACTTATGAACTTTTGAATAGAAAATGAAATGGGAGCCGGAGTATTTTTACAAACTGCATGACAACGCTTCTATCTAGATCTAGTCTCCCCAACAGCCGCTTTCAGTGTCGTCACGCAACGCAGGGGAGAAAGCGTTGCGTGACGACACTGAAAGCGGCTGTGGGGGAGACTACTTCTATCCGGATCTACGGTTTTTCCTCCAATGATTTTTAGCCTGGAAATGATTTTTAGCTCATTCTTTTATACGTCATATCAAAGTGGAATCTCCACTGTGATTCTCGGTAGACTTGCAAAGTGGATGTGATAATTAAGAGGTGAAACCCAATACATGGTACTTTACTTGCTTGCATTATGGCCTGTGGACAAATTATTTCCAAATAAAGGTTTTGCGCACTCCTTTACTTCATATTGAAGTGGAATTTATCCCGAAGTTCTCAGCTTCTTTTGTTTAAACCTTCTTTTGTGATTGATTAAACAATTTTTACATTCATTGTAAGTCACGTGGATCATCCACTTGGTCATTCATTTTCATTCTGGCCGCCAACTTCTTTTCTTGGCACTTGATGAGCTGTTGTCGTGCAAGGAAGGCAGCTCTGATTCTACCATTAATACGTATGAAGTGGCGCAGAGGGACCACGCTTCCCTTTATATATAGTCTATTTACATATTTACAATTCCCTAGGGTATTCATCATAATATTCAAATAACTTTGAATATTATTTAGGACAACTGGGCTTTGCCAATATATAGATATGAACTTCTGGCTTTTCATCTTAGGCTGTGGAATAGAAAATTTAAAAACAAAGTAGGGCGGGGTTACAGTCCCCCAGTTTTACGGGCATTACCTCCAAGGTAGGGTACCAATATACATTCTTGAAACAAACTGGACAAAAAAACCAATTTTTATTAAAACAAAGTCGTTTATTCACTCTCCGATATTTGAACCAGTACAGAGAAGACTATTTACAAAGTGCKCCAACACAATGGTTCGTGGTAAGGTGAACGAATTCCTGATTATACCGCAGGGCTATCGCTAGCGGTCCTGARTACAATACATATTATATACATATTTTGATCGAGTAACGAAAGAAGCTTTCAGTTTAGGATGAACAGTACATAAAAAGATAAATTATCATTGAATTGCATCACCTATAGGTAATCTTAGAAGTCATTTTCACACTAATTGCGAAATACAGAACACACAAATGACACGCACTCTCTTTACTATACCATAAGTACACCACAAACAAACACCTTTTAATGTTCCAACGTTGGAGACGTTTAAAAAAAAAAAAAAAAAAAATGTTGACTCCAGTTTGCAGAAGAATATAGTGAAGACTTCTGATTGATTTGTATTTCAAATTTGGATATTTTACAAAAACAAAAATCTTTAAATCCAATTTAAGCACTTTAAAGTTTACACCGATTTGAACTTGGTTTTAATCGTCAAGTTGGCACAGCAAAGCCACGCCTCGCATGATCCAGTGCTCTTTTGGCTGGTCTGATGGAAGTCGTACTTCCATGACAAAGTTGGTCGAGTGACCAGTAGTAGACAAGGTRCCTCTTCTCTCGCTTGTCTTGTACATAGGTGCGACATAGTGTGGGCGATCTTTGATGTCTTCTTTTTTACACGGTACCAGCCACATGACGGGCAAGGTGTCGAAGAGAATCTTTGGACGGGATTCCCCCACTGCTTTCGTTTCTCTGTCCCATCGAGCACCTTCTATGAAGAGACCRTCAACATAGACACCATYTTCTGGGGGTGTGTCGTACTTTTTGTCCTCAAGGACAAAGTAGTCAAAAGTCAAGAGGTCAATGGGGATGGTGTATTTACGGGCAAAATTCTGCTTTGAACCTGTCAGGAAGGCTTGGGTGAAAAAGAATCCAGACAGCCAGAAGACAGTAGGGGCTCCGTTATCGTACCAATCTTGAAGGAACTTGAGTCTAGCAATCAGATCATTCACGTAGCTTCCCAAGGGTTTTAAGGATGGGTACGACTTCTTCATCCACAGAGATGGAATCTTGCCTTTCAACATGCTGCTGAATACTTCTTCAAGTTCTGAAGACATCACAACCAAACCCTAAATTTGACAAAGAAAAAAGGTTACTTTTTACCCCTGAATTCATACTAAAGGCTTTACGAGGTAAGCTTGTGTACCATCACCAGAGTGAATGGGGTATGAATAATATAGATAGAAAACGTAATCTAGCCATAATGTGTATAGAAAGTTCTCTCCTGTAGCTTAGGAATGGTTAATGATAAGGAACGAAACTTGTACAAAACTGTTTGGATAGTTGGTGTTGTTTTTTTGGTTTTTGTTGTAGTTTTTGTTGTGGTTTTTTGTTATAAACCTCCCTCCTCCCCATGCAACGTTTCTGTTTGTTGAACATCAAATGAGCCATTGGACCAACACTGTTGCGGGTAGTGGGGTGAAATATTTTTTTAGCTYCAAAAGAAGTAAAAAGAGAAGAATGAAGTCCGAACAGGAACGATACCCACCTTGATAGCTTTTTGTATATTGACCAGGCTTGACCGCACCACTTCTACCAGCCTATTAAACCTAACCATCTCCTGGACAAGTACAGTGTTCATACTCTGCGTGTAGGTTGTCGGATATTTGCGCAGCGCTGCTTCTGTATCAAATACGCGTGGCATCTTGCTCAAAATGTCCTCAGCGACTCCAGCTACAGTTTCGTCGTCGSATTTTCCGCCACCAGACGAAGCACGAGACAATGTCAAAAGAATGCTGTTGAAAAGGGACGTCGTTTCTTGTTGGTCTTTAGTGATGTCTGCATTCGCATGCATACCGAAGATCTCTGGATGATCGTTGATTGGCAGTTTCTTTGCATACTCGAGATAAGACTCGTAATCGCCGTCAGGCGCGGAGCAGTAATTACCACTGGGTGAGAATTTGTGGTCCGGTTCGGTGATGACGGTAGAATGGTAGAAACGATTTAGGATGGTGAGAAGGGTGCGTCTGTCACGATCATCTGTGACTCGGCCACCGTAGTTACACTCACCGGTCAAGTACCTCAAAGCATCGTACTGAACTTCCTGTTACATTTGAAAATAATAAGAGGGTAAGTCCTAGAGTTGGAAAAAGCTACAGAAAGTAGTATTCAAGAACATCATGGAAGTCCAAAGGGATGGGTTAACGCATCTGTGTTAACTGTGCTTAAATTGTGTTTAACACATTTTTTCCCGTTTTTTGGTGTTGTTGTGTTGTTGTATGGTTAAACATAAAACACAAGATCGTAAATTGAGATATCATGAAAATAAATGAATGTCAAAAAATGTAAAGAAAGGGGAAAAAGGGGGGTAAGTCGCTCGGTAAAGCACAAATACTGAAGTGGCCAAAATTGAAATTCGTTGTAAGGGCTTATAGACAAGGTGATTTCCATGCAAAAATAACAACACAACTATCAGGAAGAAGAAAAAAAATTTACTCACATCATATTTGTTCATGAACATGTGTAACTGCTGTACACTGATACGTAAATCAGTTTCGTTGAACTCGTAAGGGATGTTCCAACCAAGGGGACCGAATTTACGACGCTCTTGGACCAAGGCGTGGAAGAAGCACAATCCAAGCAGCAACTTCTTAAACTCAAACTATATCAAACATAAGAAGTTTGTTAGTGATTTAAAAACTTCTGAAACTTCTGAACAAAGGTAAGATTTGAGTCAGTGGATTAGTCGATGCTGTTATCAAATAAATTTATCCACTAGATAAGATATATCCGTCGGATAGCGCTATCCACCCTTCGTACAACCGGGCCCAGAAGCTTGAATCTAGTTTGGCAGCCCAATACACCGGCTACGAAAACTTCATGAGCAGCTTGAACTTTTCAAAGGTAATGCTAACAGGACGCCTATAGCATTTCCTTTATTTCCTGGTGAGTTCGCCCGTAAGAATGACAACTGCGGGCGCATCGACAAGTCCCGGGCGACATGTTCGTCTATAGCGAAGATCTCCTGCTTTTGCCCTCTCTTTATTACAAATACGTTCAATGTTAAAGTTCACATTTTCTTACCGATTTTTTACAGCTTGTAAAGAATTCAGGATCTGATATAGGATCACTAAGATATGACCTGGTTAGGTTAGCTCTTATTCCTTTAGGTGGCTCATTGGTCATTTTAACACCATTCTGAAGAACCGTCACAGGAAAGTTCGGCGATGGATAGCTTGTCAACCAGAGACGGAAATCAGGATGTGTCGTGTCGGGATTCAGTTCCTAGTGTAAATAATAAGAGATTAGGATAAGAATAACATTATCATATGATGGCCCATTTAAAATAATAGTGTAGATATTTTTATTTGCACTTAACTATATAATTTGTACATAATAATATTTATAAAAGAGAAAAATAAATAGTAATAGTAATTTCGAAGGTCTGATTATTTACATTAATAAAGAAGAGTGCCAGTAAGCTAGAGAGTAACTAAAGTTTCCGAGCCAGCTTACCATTTCTATGAAGAATAGAATTTTAAAAACGTGAATAGTCACGCAATCTATCAAATTAGAACTAATAGAATAAAATTATGATTGTGAATTATAAATATCTAAGAAAACAGATCCATTTGATTTCTTTTGAAAGGTACGTTCATAGACAGTACGTTCATACCAGTTCATACCTCACAAATCTTTTCCAATGTACTCATCCAAGAGGTGGCAAGATGACAGTTCTGTAGTACTACCCAAGTACCTTCCTTAACGGCTTTCTCAATCATACGCAAAGCAATGGGACCTTGACCTTGTCCGAGTGAAAGAGAACTCAGCTTAGGTCCTCCAAAACCCTAAGAAATGATCAGAACAAATAACAATTGACTTTAGCTTTCTTCTTGAATTGGAAATTTGGACGAAGGAGAAAGGGAGGGGGTGTTTGCTTTCTCGCGTGACACACCACGGAACATCCCACTTGATACTTGATGTATTTTCTTGTATAAACATCTATTTCAAAAAACGCTGTCGATGCGAGATCCGAAATGGGTGGTCTGAGATTAAACGGATTTTTGTGCTTCTATGTTTTCTKGCTCAAATATGAAAAAATCACATTTCTAACTCAAAGGTTATGCTTCATATTCCAATCTAAAAGGAAACTACGTTGTTTGGCTGTGAATATATTACAATTTGCATCGTGCTACTTGGTCTCAAATTTAAGATTTCAGATCTCCAACCGATAGGTGTAAGCACAAGCAACTCGTCGATAACTTATTTTTATTGAAGCTTTTCTTACCTGATCATCTGCAAACTTGAGAAGTGCGGCAGTTGGATCTGATCCTGGAGACAGCACGAAGATAAGGGGAGCACAGGAGTTGGAGTCGGCAAATGCTTTACCAAGATCGAATGGTGGTGGCTCTACGTACTTCTTGCCAAGTTTTAAAGTGACGAAATCTTGTACACTGGGAGTAATCTGTATATACAAGGAGACCATTTGTATTGAACTTGAAATTTATGCGCATACTGATCGCGATTAGTCTAAAAGATTAGCTTGTTTACTTGCTTGAAGAATGGTCCCAAAAGTACAGGGATTCAAATAGACAGACAGACAGACAGACAGACAGACAATAGACATTCAAATAGGTATCGGTGTGTTGAACATTGGTTAGGTTTCAAGAGAAAACTGCCTCCCCCCCCCCCCCCCCCCCCCCCCCCCAACCCCTAAAAAGACCATGGACGTACATAGAGAACTCAAGCGCCGCTGGCAGGGTTACCAAAAGAAGAGAGTGACCCCAAAAAGACCAGAATAACGACCATGGAGGTATGATAAAAAACCCAAGCGTCGTAGAGTCTCGAAAGAAAAGTGGCACCAAAAGAAAACCAGAAAAGAGACCATGGACGTGT